TAGGCATGTTTTAAAAGACATTATGGACATACAGGCCACACAAGAATCTGCGATTGTCAATACTCTTTCTATTGATATAATAAATAACTGAATATCCTTCTAAAATAAAAAAAAATCCTTGTTTGAGTACTCTACGTCTTTAGGTATATAGTCGACTTCCGCTCATCCGCTCAGTTGACATATTATTAATGTGAATAAAAACTTACTTTCTAAACTAGATCTAATGTATTATTTTTTATTTTATAAACAAAAATATAATATTTTTTCTTACAATGAAAAGTGACCAGCAAGGAAACATATTTTCTTACGCGCCGCCAATGATTGAATTCAAAATTTTCGAGAGTTCATGATATGCACATAATGTCGGCTACATTTCACCACTTACGGCGCTTGATTTTGGATAAGTAATTTTACTTATTATTTGCCTAATACGATTTTAACATTCATATTTGTAGAGGAATTTTAATATTACGATTATTAAACAATTTCTTCATTTTTATGAAAATGGACCTAGCAATTTCAATACGTCTTTTGACTTCGATACTTAGATCATTAGCCTCGTTTATTATAGATCCCATGCATTTGTAACTACTTACCGTTTGAATAGGTGTGCTATCTATAGTAATGTTTTTATGATGAAACAAAGACACTCTATTCACATACTTCATTTATATTTTATTACATTTATCATTTCAACATTAACGATTATTCCTTCATTTGTGCTTGATAAAAGAAAACTTCCTGATGAATGTGTTTACTATACACTTAAAGCAGTAGTGAAAACATATCCCTGTCTCCCTCTATCCCTGTGTTACTCTTATTATCTCTGTTTTTTCTCTATTTTCACATCTTTTTCACCTACGCCTTTTCTCTCAAGAATTTCTTTAAGATAATCACGGCGTACCCTGTTGAAAGTCTTTTTAAAATCTATAAAACATGCTTTATCTCTTAATTTACGTCCAAGCACCGCTATGTGAGAATATTTAGAGCAAACAGAGCGTCTCTAGTGCCTAACCTTTTACTGAATCCCAACTGTGTCTCGCTAATATCAAGGTTAAACTTTCTGTAAACACGGTTATAAATAGTTTTAAGAAATACCTCAAGTAAATGACTCATTAACGAAAGGTTGTTTCTCTCCCTCTCTCTCTTCAATTGCTCTGCAGCCCAAATCGGGCTGTGGCCTCCTCAAAGCTATGACTCCAACCTTGCCGGTCCCACGCTGATCTTCTCCAAGTTCTCATGTCTGTCTGCTGCCACTTATTTTCCCATGTTTACCGTGTCATTCCTTTTGATCTTACACTCTGCATTTTACTATCTAGGATGCTTTTCGGCAATCTTTTGGTATCCATTCTCAATATATGACCAGCCAATCAAAGTCTCTCAAATTTAACAAATTTTGAGCTCGGTTTCTCTTTGAACGTTGGTAGAGTTCATAGGTGTACCTAAATCTTTATACTTCGTTTTCGTTAGTAGGTACAAATATCTTCCCTAGGACTTTTTGTGTCTTTTATCATCACTGAAGTCTTGCATCCATAACATACTATTGGTCTAATTATAATTTTGTAGACCCTGATTTTCTATCTCTAGTGTTTGCTTTGGAGAAGAACACATGAGCGGGTGAAAAATCAGCGTTATTTTTCTGGTTCTTCTGTTCCATCAGTATTTAATGTAACTCTCAAATATGTGAAACTACTTACAGTTTCAACATCGTCCTCTAATTCAACTGTGCTGCTGTTTCCCCTTGCCTTGCTTGTGTTACCTTTTTTGTTTTTTGAATATTTATTTATAGTCCAGTCTCTTTTGGCTCCTTTTTTAATTGTGAACATATTTCTGCCACCCCCTTCTGTTTTGCAAGAGATACTGCTGATGTCACTGGCATAGGCGGCAATTTGGGTTGTTTATATTGTTAGAAAATAATTCATTTATACATTTAGTCCATCTCTGTTGTTTATTTTGTAGATCCGTGATTATCCTCCCTTCTCTACCCTTAAGTACACCGATGTAGTTTTCTTTCGAACCCATTGTTATCTAGTACTTTTTTGTATATATTAAAGCTATCATATTTTCTGTTATAGTTTTCCATTTCTTCACATTGGTTTTTAATCAATAATTCTTTGGTATCTTGTATTCTTCTTTTAATGTTTTTGTTTAATCCTTTGTACTCTGCCAAATGCTAAATCCCAATATATCTATCTAGAGTTTCCCTACGTCATATACGGTATTATCTAATTTTCCAGCTGCAGAAGCCTTATAGTCTTTTGATGTTCTTTCTGTGTCGGATCTTAAACTCTATCTTCAATGATCAATACTAGTATTCCTTGTAATATTTGCCATATTGATACTCCGTTGCCTTCTCCATCCATATACTGTTAATCATTTGTCGATTACTTTGCTTCAGCGTCAATTTCTTAACTCAGAACAAAATATTGCTTCACCGCTTAAGAACATATTCGTATAGATCCGTTAGTCGGCAATCACTCAGTCTCTTACTTCGTTGGCCATCCAAATGAATATTGCTCGTCTTCTACCACTTGCAGATGCCGATTTGAATGTATAGCCTTGATGATGGAAAACCTCTGAAACAATTCAAAATTTGAAATTTAAAGTATATACTTTATGACAACATCTAAATACCCACTACGATGTAAAATAGAAACTGATGAGAAAATAATAAAGCAGGAAGCAAGGTTTAGTTGTCTGGGAATAGATAAAACTAGTTACGGAGATGTTGAAGAAGAAGTACGACAACAAAGCTTAAAATCAAGTAACGCGGCGGGATCTCTTAATGACACAATCTGGAAGAACAAACACCTAAGACAAGACACAAAAGCAAGAATCTGTAAAGCAGCAATTAGACCTATATTAACATACAAGACGGAGAGAAGACCTGACACATTTAACACAAGACGACTACTGGAAACAACAAAGATGAAAATACTTCGACGAATATCAGGGAAAAGTCTGTTGAATATGGAGAGAAGCAAAAACATAAGAAGGGCATGCAATATAGAAGACATGAATGGACGGGTGACAAAACGGAGACACGGAGTGAAACGAACACTTTACCAGAATGGCAGAGGATATGATAGTACGAAATAGCACGACATAAGTCACCAAACGGACGAAGAAGTATTGGCAGACCAAGAAAAGATGGTGCGATAATTTAAACAATTTAGAGGGCTAATATTGAAGAAGAAACAGGCTTTAAAGCCTACATACAAGAAGAAAGAAGAAGAAGAAGTATATACTTGAAGGTACATAGACAAGCCAATTACAGTTAGGAAATCAGGAAATATAATTATAGGAAGGCTATATCAAAGTAATTATTCTATTATTATTTTTAAGACACACACAAAAAAACAAAATATTTTATATTTCATAAAAGTAGAAACTTATTTAACTCCCGGCTACTTGAAGATTTTGAGATTGATAATGTATGTTAAATAAAATTTGCTTTTTAAGACAGCTAAGAACATTTCATCAAACGCAAAGAAAGCAAGCATTTCGAGAGTGAACAGAAATTTCGATATATTTTAAATTAGTATTTCTTTTCATGATTAATATGAAAAGTGAATTTCTTTATAGTGATTTAATAGTCTTTATACTAAAGTAATTTCTAATTATATATTAGGCACCCTAAAAAATTATTATTGCGATTTTTGGAAATTTAAAACTATTTTAAGTTTATGTAATTGACAAACCAAAACACTAATCGTATTTTATAATTTACTCTAGTCGTCAGAGACAAAAATGTCACTGACCCTCTAAAGATCATACGAACAAGCTGAATTTTGCTTAGAATATCAATTCTAGGACCGCAAAGAATATGCAAAAAGTTAACCCAACGCTTCTTCCCTTAAACGCCCCTCCGTAGTGAGGAAAAAATGAAAAAATTCGATATATCAAGAATATATACGTCATAGAAAAACATATTTCAAATAAAAAATGTAGCTGAAATAATTTTAAATAAAAAAGTGTATTTGGACTTTTTGTGTAGAATAAAACGTTCTTTCAGAAACAAAGGGTTAAAGCCAGCGGTGATTTTGAATGTCGGATACGCGCGCGAAATCAATGTTAAATAAAATTTATTTGTATCAACTCGACGTTAAAAACTCGATATCTTTTAATCGGAGTATCTTATGGACAAAAATCAAAATGATCAGATTTTAAATTTTGTCACAAATAAAGTCAGCCTTTATAAAGGTATTAAAAATATAAACTGTCAGATTTTGATTTTCTTTATAATTTGACCGGTCACTATAAAGTTTCAATTATTAGAGTCTAATATTTAAAACCTCCAGCAATAACTTTTAATTTTCAGTTTTCGGAACTAAAAAACGCTGAATTTAAACTTTCACATTACAAATGATCTAAAACGTTTAAAACTGTTTTTGTTTTTAATTACAGTAGTACGTTTTTCACAAATACGTTAATGTTGTAAAATGGGTGAAAACAATAATATACTTATAAATGCAAGGTCCCATTTTCTATAGAAAAACTAATATAAAATTTAATTTTTATAAAATTCTATGAAAATTACCCTATGTTACTATCAGACAATTATTATATCATAAGTATATAATATTTCATTTAACAACAGTTTGGAAAAATGGGTAGTAATAAATTTTTTAATAGTTATAAAATCGACCACTTTCACCTGTTACACACGAAAATCGGAAAACAAGTTCCGTCATACAATATAAAAAGTTGTTTTTGCTGCTGTTAATGAAACTATTCTAAAAAAATTATCTATGAAAAAAAGTTTTTAATGAATTTCGTCACAGACGAAAAACATTTCGTTTTTCCGAAATGTTTGAGGCGTCAGACGTGTTCAATGACTTAAATTTATCATCAGACAATTTCATTTTCCTGTTTTTCTTATAATTTTTAAGCTATTAGTTTAAAAAGAATAGCATTATCTATAAATTTTCGTTATGAATCTATAAAATTACGGTAATCCCTGAATACTTTTAAATTCACGTTTCAATTTTATATTTCAGATTGGGTGAAGATGAGGCCAAATTAGGTAACAGTACTAAAATCCAATGCAAAGGAGGAAAATTCGAAGGAGAGTTTGTCTGCTGCAAAGTTAATACCACCAACAGTAGTGCTGAGAACAGAAATCCAGAGATAGAATATGATAATTCGACTATAGCCCCAACGCATCAGTGTGGAGTTCAAAGAACCAAAATTAATGTCAGAATTATGACGGACGAGGATAGTGATGAAGAAGTCAATCCACTGGACGGAGAGTTCCCATGGATTACGGCTATTTACAAGATAAATAAAAAGGAAAGATGGGTTTTCCACTCTAGTGGAGCGCTGATACATCCCAAAGTTATTTTAACAGCCAATCACTACTTCCATAGGTATGTTTTTGTCTAACGTCATTTAATTGAAGATGAAAGACTATGAAATCAATTTATTTAAATGTTGAGATTTTTCTAGGAGGAATAATATTAACTTAAATAGTTACTAGATATTGTATTATATGTTCTAGAGCTACATTTATTACCTGTTCTGATATTCTAAAAACATATGTGCTAGATACTGTAACGGCAGCTTATAAATGTGCGCTAGGTACTGTAAATATTTACCCAGCAGTTACACACAGTTTAACCAGATTGACATTTTCATAGTATCTGCATGTTAAAGGTAATGGATTTTAACGAGAGCCATGAGTCATGCCGATTCAGTACACAAGTTTACCTGTTATTTTCAAGGTCATAGCTCTTGTCAAAATCCATTACTTCTACTTTGTTCACTCAGCCCGTTTAAAGGTATGATATCTGAGTGATCACACATATAATTGTTCTAAGTTCTGTTTTTGCTTACCTTTGGTCTGTAATATTTTCAGGATGCTGCAGTTTATTTGATCATTTTTTGACATCCTTTGCGATGCATATTTTTGGGATGTGAATTGGTCTCCTTCTATAAAAGGTATACCAGCTTCTAATTTATCAATATTATCAGCAATATAGTTATCAGAAATTCTTTTATGCCATTGTGTTCATACGAACTTAATTTGCTATCTAACAATAAAAAACTGAAAATTTTTGTTTTCAAGTTTCCACAAAATTTATTTTATATCACTACAGAAGTGTCTTTTTCAAGTGATTAATTTTTGGTATAAAGTTGCATTAAACAAAACTGTCAACAATATTGAAAAAAATGTTGCAAAATGTATTACCGATATGTGAATCCAACCTAAAAATCTTATTATAAACAGCCATTTCAATATCATGAACCCACAGCCTGCTAACTTATACTTTTTTATTGAACTATATAACCTGATCACCCAATAAGACATGTGTTTCTTTTTATATGTCATATAAACTTTCAAAAAATAAACTCTGAGATTATTTTATAACACACTAAATTTTCACCTAAATTTACCGTAAAAATACAATAGAACTAGTTAATAAAATATAATTTTCAATTACCTAACAACTCCAGATTAATTTCATTTGATGTAAACAATATTTTTCCTAGTATTCCTTCTACAGAAACTTTTGTTCTAGTAAAAAACCTTATACTACTATAATAATACAAATCCAGTCATTACATCTGAAATTTTACATCTTCTTAAAATTTGCATAAACCCAAACTACTATGAATTTAATATTCAAATAAATACAAATAATAGTGTAGGACTTATAATAGGTAATCCTCTAAGCCCATTGCTATCAGATATTTTTATGGATCATCTAGAAAAAAAGATTCTAAAACATCCCGTATTCAAATATTTTTTATATTGTGGAGATACGTAGACGATGCACTGGTGTGTTTTAAAGGAACAAACAGGCAACTTAACCATTTTTTATTGGATATTAATTCATTTCATAGTAATATCTAATTAACAATAGAAACAGAACATAATTAATCCATAAATTTTCTAGACTTAAAAATTATCAGACTAAGAAACAAAAATGAGTTCTCCGTACTTCATAAACCTACCTATACTGACACGACTACACACAATTCATCATTCTATCCTACATAACATAAACTAGCAGCCTATCAGAGCACGTTAGATAGATTAATATAAATTCCCGTGTCAAAAAACAACTTCGAGATAGAATTGAATATAACAAAAAGAGAAATCATACGATTTCTACCAAATCTATTTCCATCGTAGACAATAGTTATCAAGTTGTATGCAAGTATGCAAGTTTTAGAAAGCATAGTAGTAAAAATTTAAATTCAATTTCGCCATGTAGAAATCGTATGATTTCTCTTTTTGTTATTAGATGGCATAGTTACGTCCGTATATAGTTATTTTGATAACTATTGCCTACAACGGGAATAGATTTTGTTACGATTAAGAGTAATGGCTATACCGCTCTGAGGAGCCCTAAAGAGGTCGAAATACGTATAAACGGCTTGCTGCTATTCTGTATCAAAACAAAAATCTAGTACCGTCATTATGTTTTATTTCTTTACTCCGTTTGAAGCACCAGAAATTGAATTTACTACGAATTTTGTCCATGATGAACGACATGTGGAATACAATTTTAGATTCCCTTGCCGAATAATTTATCAAGATGTTTGCTTTGCAAGCTTTAGAAAGCACAGTGGTAAAAATTTGAAATCGATTTCGCCGTGTAGAAATCGTGTGGTTTCTCTTTTTGTTATTAGATGGCATAATTACGTCCGTATATAGTTATTTTGATAACAACTATTATCTACGACGGAAATAGATTTTGTTTCTATTCAGAGTAGTGACTATAATGCTCCGAGAAGACCTAAAGAGGTCAAAATACGTATAAGCGGCTTTCCGCTGCTCTGTACCGAAACAAAAATCTGGTACCGTCATTATGAAGACTTGAATATATTTAAGCAAATACCATTAAATAATGAGTACAACGAAAAAACAATAAATAAAATTTTAAATGAAAAGCTACATAAGAAAGCTATAAAATTAGTAATTCCACTACCAGAGAAAAAAACCAGTACCTTCTGCTCGATTACATAAAAATAGCCAAGTACATAAAAAAGAAAGGAATAACACCAGCATTTAGGACAAACAACAACTTATGGAAATATATTAAGAACAACAGGAGACAAAATAAAAACACTTACACAGTGGTGTTTACAATCTTAAATGTGGCGGCTGCCCAGAAACACCGGCCAAAGTGATACAACTTTTAACAAACGTATAGCAGAGCATAAAAGAACTTTCACTAATAGCAAAACAGATTCTACGTACGCACTTCGACTTCCAGACCATAATCATTCTTTTAATGACGAATTTCAAATTTTTCAAATTCAAAATAAAGGCCTTTTTTTAAAGCTATCCTTACTAGAATCTATGATAATTAACGAATTAAAAAATACAGATTTAAGTCACCAACTTAAAACAAACAGTTCTACCCTCCTCAAAATATTCAGTGAAAGGTTATAAAGTGTAAATACATACCAAAAATTAATCACTTGAGAAAGGCACCACTCTTCGAAACAGCTCTAGTGATAAAAAAATTAAGTGAATTTTGTGATTTTGTTGAAGTTTCGAAAGCAAAGTTTTTAGTGTTTTATTGTTAGATAAAATGGATTTCCATCAAGTAACGGTCGAACCCACCACTTAATTTTTTGTGCTTTTTCCATGGACGTATTGGCTTTTTCAGTAGCTTAAGAGATTATTTGCCAGTTCCAAGCTTATACGGGCTCATAACTGTACTAGGATCTTCGATTCTGTATTGGGCTGCAATGAACTTTTCGATTAATTTACTCTTTTTTCTTGAGCTTATGGCTTTTTGTCTTAGGGCAATACATTCTTTTCTTAATGGTGATTTATTCGAACTACTAATAAGTCATTTTTCTTCCTCCATCTGACACCCGTTAATGAAGTTATTCATAGATTCCCGAAGATCTCCTCATCCTCCTCCTAACTAGTCTGGTGAAAAGTCCGTATTGGCAGTCCTTACCTAGACCATTAAGAAGTCAATATAGCATGTAGCCATACCAGCTGGTCGAACGGTCCATGGCTGGATTCTGTGTGGTGCAGATAACATCAATATATGAGTTCAAATTTCTTAGATCTTGGCTCCGGACTAGTGTTTAGGTTAAGAAGGTCGAGAGTTCTTATTTATTCCGTAAGCATTTGTCTAAAAGTGTCTGTTATTGGAGAACTCTATTTCGTCGCTCTGGCATTAAAGTGCCCAGGATCACACACTTACTTTCTAATGATTTTACCTAATTGATGATGTTATCCTGTCTACTTTCGTAATCCTGTCTTTACAATTCGGCAAAATTTAGCAGGAAAAACTGTTTACCAATTGGACTTGCACACTGCACAGATCCCTTACACGTATCAATCTCATACTTTATGTCTTCTATTCGCATACAGCCGGTGTTCGCCATATTCATTATTCATTTTACACCAAGTTCTGTGTTAGGATTTATTTGAATTATTTATTTGATTTATTGGAATTATTTTCTTGAGTTTGTTAATAATTATCGCGATTTTGTTATCTCTGGATACTTGCCTTTAGACTCTTGAACTCATTTGTTTCTTTTACCATACACTTTTGGCGTAGTTTCTTCCTTCTTGCCGTCCATTGTAGCACTTGTCTTTCTTCAGGTCATGTCTTCCTTCCTAGTGCTACTCGTGACATTGACACTTTTCATCTATTTTACCGTGCGGTTAAAACAACAACCGTTTGCCAAACATGTCAAATATTATTTGGGAGATTGTCCCAATTTTGCCATTATCGTCTTCTTTCACGTAAAATTTTGGGAGCTATGAATATCTGGTACTATTCTTGTATCAAGTGCATCCTATGTTACCAGGATTGGTCCATCCTTCGATACCTACAACGTTCCCTTTTTGACAAGTAGTTACATTTTCATGGTTTAATATATTTTATGAATTTTTAATATCATCTTGAATGTTCTCGAACTACTTCTTCTTTTTCGTCAGGGGACTTTTTCTATTTTGATAAATCTTACGGAACTTTCGTAACACTGCTCGCTCCTATATAGTTTTATGTCTCGAATATCTAGACTATCAGGAATTGATTAAAGCCAAAAGGGTGGATCAGTTCCATGGTATGGAGCTAGTCCCTCAATATGAACTACCTTGGGTTTACTTCTAGCTCAAAACTGGATGCGGTAACTTGGATTGTTTATTTTCTGCAGGACGATATACGGGCCTTTCGAGTTTCTATGAAGTTTTGTTTTGACAAAGTCCTTTTCTACGTGTGAGATTTTATAACCATACTGGGTCACCTTTTTCGAAAGTTGTACCAGTCGCATACATGTGGAACCTGGCCTTGGCTTCATCAATTTGAACCTTTAAACTTTTACGAGAAATTTCGTACACTTTTTCCAACTTTTCTTATAAATTTTTGATTTACTACAGGGATAAAAT